TTTTTTTTTATTTATTTTTTTTTTATATATACTTTTTTTTTAGTTATATATAAAAAAAAAATTAAAAAAAAGAAAATTCAATTTTGTAAAATTGTAAATAATTTTTTTTATATTTTATCTTTTGTTTATATTTTATTAAATACATCTTTTTATTTTAAGGAATATTAAAAAAAAAAAAAAATGGCCGTTCCAAATAAAATAAAAAAGTTCTTTGGAAAGTGTAAAAAACCATTTATTTGTATATCAAAAATTACGAAAATTTCCAAAAAGAATAAAAAGGAAACCATCACACCTTCAACAATTATCACTAACACGACCAATGTTAAAGAAGAAATTATCACCAGGGAAATTAAATTAAATCCCATTCAAGGAAATACAAAAATTACACTTCCAGAATCCAAATTCAATTCAACAAAAGAAAAACCATTAAAACCATTTTATCAATTTGATACAAAACCACAATTACCAATTCAACCACAACCACAACCACAACAACAACCACAACAACATTCACATCATCAACCACATCATCAGCCACATCATCAACCACAACAATCGCATCCATATCCATTTCCTCATACTAAAAATAATTATAAAAGGTATAGCATAAACAATATCTTTAATAAGCCAAAATTCTCTCCTGTTACTCCAAGGTAAAATTTATTTATTATCAAGAAATTAAATCTATATTTAAGGATAATTTTCTAATTAAAATTTTCTTTTTTCTTTTTTAGTTTCGTTCATCCGGTTGCTATAAAATTAAATGTGGGAGGAATTACTTATATGACAACACAACAAACATTATGTACATATCCTTCTTATTTATCCGAATTATTTTTCATATTTCGATCCCCTAATTTACCCCCTTCTTCAGCTCATCCTCAATATCCTTGGCCAGAAGAATTATTCATCGATAGAGATGGTGAATTATTCAATTATATTTTATCATTTTTAAGGACTGGCACTTTACCAAACTCCATCCCATTAAGCATTTTACAAAAATTAGATTATGAAGCAAGTTTTTATGGTATTAAACCATTACAAACTTTAATTTCCCATCGCGTAAAAATACATACCACCTCCCCTAAGTATAAAGTAATTCCTATTGAAAGATTAAGTAATGATGAACCCGATTTTGTTGATGGTGAAGAAATTGTTACTTCTAATGTTATTGGTATAAGAAGATCGAACTCATCTTCTTATTCAATTTCTTCTTTACATCAAAGAAATCGTTTCAATTCCGATAATATTTCTTTAAATTCTAATTCTTCCGGTGATTCATCTGAAATAGTTCCTATTATTTATAATCCTTGTAATACAACAACTACCTCTGCCTCTCGTACTCCCACAACTAGTTATACTCCAATTACTCGTACCCCAAAATCTTCTACTTCTACACAAAATAATTTTTATGTTTCTTCCGCTGCCTCTCAAAATTGTGATTACAAACCTGAATATGAGATCATTTCTATTACAAAAATTCCTATCATATTAAAAGATAATAATTATACTTTTGATAATTTCGATAAAATGAATTATTTATATGATGAAGAATTTCATACAAAAGAGTTGGCAACTTTTGTTGTATTACAACGCAAAGATGAATGAAACTTCTTTAGGGTAAAAATTTACTATTTATTTTCTTATTATATTGATTTATTTTAATAATGTATATATATATAATATACATTCTTATCGTATTAATAATGTATATATATAATATACATTCTTATTGAATTGATTTATTTTAATAATGTATATATATAATATACACATATACATATACATATATATATTATTTCTTTTTGATTTATAATTTATAAAAAAAAACAATTTTTTTTTTCTTAATTTCTCTCTCGATAAAATAATAAAATAATAATTTAATTTACTATATTAATAATATCATTCTATGAAATCGGGAATTAATTCATGGTCATCTTTTTTTCGTATTACATAATTTACTACGGATCTAATTTTAATTTATCCTTCATTATCGAATTATCGATCGATAATTATCATATATATCATATTCACCTGTTACCAAGTTTCATATGCAAATGTAAAAAAGGGTTGAAAGTTTAAATTATGATAATTATGATAATTATGATAGTATGATAACTGATAAGTATAATGTTTTACAAAACTTTAAAAAAAAAAGATCACGCGAAAGTGAGAATATCAAAAAAAAAAAAAAATTCCAAAAATTAAAGACAAAGACAAAAACAGATCTCAACTTATTATAGGATGTTGATGTAACATACACAATCTTTTTGTAATTGCCACAATTTCATCATAATTCTTTTATCACCGCATTAATTATCACATATTGTTACCATATTAACCATATTAACCATATTATTAATGATCATTTATACCTGATAATACTAATTGATGTTGTCATTGATGTGAAGAATAAAAAATAAAATTACTATTTTTTGGTAACAATTAAACAATTGAATTTTTTTTTGGTAGATCAAAAAACTCCGAAAATTCCGTAAATATTTTCACATAAAAATGGAGGAGTTTTTGAGAGAAAAAAAAAATTACTTTGGTAATGTATAACGGTTCCTTTACCTTCTTTCATTTTTTTTTTTTT